TATTCTGCCTTATAATTTAGTTAAGTGTAAAAAAAAAATTCATCTCTCTAGCATAAGCCCCTTACATACAGGTGGAAGGGAACTAACATTTACTTGGCATTTGTGAAGCAATTGATTTTTTAGTAAATTATATACATACAAGGAGACTTCAAAAAGTTACAGAAAATGGAATTAAAACATGAGTTTATTTGGTTGCAAAAAACCCCCTGAAATCCATGCATGGGTTTTTTTTAACTTTATTATCATCATTATTTAATTTAATTAATTGAGTAAGTAATTTTAATTTGAGAGACAGAAAGAGAGGGAGGGAAAGTGATAAAGCAAGCCACCAGGTCCGGGACTCGAACCCTGTTTGGCCATGTGGGAGTCCAGCACCTTCCATCATCATGCCGCCTGCCAGCTCCTATGCATGGTTTTTAAATAACAGGCTTTTTCAATTAACTTTTTGAAGACCCGTGTGTGTGTGTGTGTGTGTGTGTGTGTGTGTCTGTGTGCATGAGTGTGCAAGTTCATGTAATCTTTGTGAAGCCCTAGGAAGTAGGAATTCATTCTTTTACAGATAACACTTAAGCTCACTGAGGCTAAATTTGTTGATAGTCATTAAGTCAGTTAAGTGCTAGAGTCTAAATCTAAACTTAGTTCTTCTAATTCCAAAACCTGGGCTCTTCTCACTACACTTTACCCAGAAACTATGGGTATATCTTCATTGCTTTTTCTGGTTATTTCCTTCCCACCCACTAATCACCAAAGCAAAAACTTCCACTGCCTTTTGTCGTTAAGTATTAGCAGAAAGGATCTGCTATGGGGTATCTGCCTTCCTGCTTTTCAAGACTAAGAACAGGAGTCCTCGGAGGAAACCAGATTAATATGAACCCTGAATAAAGATGAAGAGATCAAAACTGTTTCTAGGGAAGGAAAGATAAAAACCATTACTTTTCCATTCTTCTGTTTAGAACTCCTCCTCCTTTGAGGTTTGCACTATCTGGCTATATCACTGTCTACCTCACCTCCTTATCTATCATCAACCACTCTCTCGATTAATCCGTATCTTCACTGCACCACACCTGTCATCCCAAATCACTTCACTATCCACACAGATGACTCACTCAATGCCCCACCTTCACTCTGCTGTGTTGTAGCAGTCCACACACAGACCTAGCTGTCACCTAGAACAGCTCCACATCAGACAACGGAGCTCCAATATCCCACTTTCTGTCCACAACCTCCATTTGTTGTCCACTACATATGCTCACTGATCTAACACAAGAAATTACAAAATCTTCAAGTTGAAAACAGAATTCATTATCCACTTGCCCGTCTTAGGTAGTGTTATCACTACCCCTATTTACCTAAGCCAAAAACCTGAGCATCACACTGGACTCCTCACCTCTCACCCGCATATCTAATCATAAAGCCTTGTAGATATTCTCAAATTCATCCCTTTTTCTTCATTTTTATGACTACATTTTTAAAATGTTACTTCAACCATGTCTGATAAAAAAAAATATTTCAGTGATTTAAAAAAAAATCACCTACTGAATTAAGATACTTACATATACAATGTCCATGACATGACCTCTGCCTGTATTTCCAATCTCACAACTTATCAAATATATTCTTCTTTTTTTTTTTAAGGCAGATTTTTGCTATAGGGCATGTGTGCTTGCCAGAGAGACAGAGAGAGACAGAAAGTGAGAAATCACTCCCTGGGGGGATGGCCACATTGCAATCCCTTCTCCTCCATTCTCCTCTTGGGATTTTGGGCATGCAAGCACATGCGCCCAGTGTGAGTTTCAAGCCTCCGAGTCTGGCACCTGAACTGTGATCGGCCATGTGGGAGTCCAGCGACATAACCATTATGCCATCTGCAGGCCCCATATATCTTTATTCTTCACCCCCTCCCCCCGAGAGATTTTTGCTATAGGGCGCATGCGCTCGCCAGGCAGACAGAGAGACATAGAGACAGAAAGCGAGAAATCACCCCCCAGGGGGGATGGTCACGCCGCAATCCCTTCTCCTCCATTCTCCTCTCGGGATCTTGGGCACGCATGCACATGCACCTGGCATGAGTTTTAAGCCACCGGGTCCGGGACGCAAACCGCAGTCGACTACGTGAGAGTCCAGCGACCTAGCCATTACGCTAACTGCTGGTTCCCCATATATCTTTATTCTCAGCAGTGCCAAACTGCTTGTGGTTCTCTGTGCAAGTTATTCCTTTTCTCACACTGATGCCTTTGCTCAAGCCATCTTCTCTGAAGCACACTTCCTCCTTATCTTTGCCAAACTTAGTCCAACTTACCATTAAGACTGGGGTCAGGTGTCATCTCTTTCCAAGGCCTTCATTCAATTCCTAAGCTAGACTAAGTGCCCTCACTTTTAGGCAACCACAGCATCACTTGTATGGAGTTCATTTTTTATTCTGAGGTGACCTATTTAGCAGCTAATTTACCAGTTCCACAAGAACTGGAAACGTGTCTTATTCATTTTCCATTGGCCGGCTAAGCACATTACACACAGCACAGTGCGGACACACAGCAGGTACGTGAGTGTCGAGCGAAGGTTAGAACACGCTACATTTACATTTTCAGTGGGAGAGTCACATCAATTCTCTGTCACAGGTTGGTAACCCCTAACTCTAACTCCGAGGCCTTTGAAGGGAAGGAACAGAGCTTTTCCTAGATCTGCACACTTTTGTCCTTGACGGTGCCATGCCAATGTCTGACCAGCTTACAAAAAAGGGAAACGGCATTTGCACAAACATACCAGAAATCAAAACTTGACATATGTGCTACAAAAGTTCAAAACCACTGACCAAGTAAAAAATGAAGACATAAAGAAATGAAGACATAAGAACCAAGATAAAGAACCAATTCTGACTGTTGGAATGTGCTTGTTTAAGTTATAAAAACAGTGAAACATTGCTTAGAACTTGAACAGATTCCCAGATACAAGAGCTTGGCATTTTATCTACAAGGCCATCACATCTCTGCTGGGCTTAGAAAAGTACTAACTCACAGGGTTGCTTAAAAAGTTGGATCCTTTTCTAAAACGTAACCCCAACTATCACCAGGGCTAAGAGATTTTAAAAAAATATCAAGCAAATAAAAAAAAAAAAAAAACAACCAACAACGTTGGTAAGTGAGCAGCAAAACGTGTTCTTTTTCATAGTCATTTGGGCCTTCTGCTGGCAGTTAGAAGAGTTCAACATAATAAAGCGTCTCCCTCTCCAACCAAATATTAAATTGCAGTTCGGCACCAAACTAGGTCTCAAACTTTTTGAATCATCATCTTTTCTATTTGCAGGACACATCACACTTTAAAACCCTTTGATACACATCCGTTCATTTGATAAAGTGTTTTTAGACGTTTTTAAGAAGAGGAAAGAAAAACCTGAAAATGTCTACAAAATCGCATCTCCTCAGTTTGCCTGGCCAAATGCTCTTAGATGTCTTTACTTTTTAAAGTTGAAAGCACAGCACAGAAATAAAGAAGGGAATAAAGTGGTTTTTATTTAAGCAGGTCAATTCTTGGGGCCAAGGAGGTTTTTTTTTGTTTGTTTTTTTTTTACAGATTTTGTTTCCTCACTCCCGTTAAGAAGCTCTCTACTTTAGGAGATTTGGGAAAACTGGAATTCACCCAGAGCTGGATCAGAGAACCCCAGCCTAGGAGAAACAACTAAAGGAATGGAATGAGTTAGTGCAAAGAGTACTACCTCCAGAAATCCTACCGGTTGTCCGTAGGGAAAAGAACCACAATATTAGAAAGGACGGGAGGCAGCTGTTCCTTTCCACTTATCACCGAATCTGTCCGGGAACAGAACGGGTTTCCCTGGGGAAATCCTTCCTTGGAAGAGGTGTCCAAACACCTCTGAAATGAGTAGGGTGGAATTTGGGATTTTCAGAGGTACTCTGGCACGGGATTGGGAGAGAGGGACCCTGGACAACTTTTAAATTCCTCGCCAGCCTGGAGCTGTTTCTGGGCTCACTCAAATCCTGGAAAGCCTTTCGATTGCTCACGGGCTGTCCCCTGCTGTGCCCACGTGTCCGGCCCCCTCCATGTCCACCCGCGGCTTACTCACCTCTGTGCCCCGCTGCACCCTCCCTCGTCTTTCTTTCAGGTCTGAAACCTGCTCCCCGCCCGTTTCCGGCGGGGATCCGGGACAGGCGGCACACGTGAGCTGTCCCCGCTGAGCTCTCGCTGCTGGGGCTCCGCCGGGAGGGAGGACCGCGGCTGACAGCGCCCGGCCCTCGGCGCCCGGGCCCTCGGTCCTTGCCTGTCCCGAACCTGGACGCTGCCAGCCTGGACCCACGAGCATTCCCTCACCCTTCGCGTCTGCACAGACAAACTGCCCAACGCGCAGACAGGCACCATGCCCACTCCGGCCCTCGGCCCAAAGCCCACCTTCCCGGGCCCTGCGCAGCCCCGCCGGCCTGGACAGCGCGACCCCGCGCGGACCGCCCTGCGAGGTCTACCCTGCAAAGGGTCCTTGGTCGGCCGGCGCCGGGTCCCAGGGCCGTCCCAGC